CTGGTTAAACCTCATGGATTAGACTGATTTAAACTGGGTTTAGACTGGTTAAACCTCATGGATTAGACTGGTTATAAATTGGGTTTAGACTGGTTAAACCTCATGGATTAGACTGGTTTGGAGACATTAGACAGATTGAATTAGACTGAGGAGTGTTTCTCGTATTACCCAGAAGGCCTTGCAGCAGTGGGACAGTAAACAGAGGAATCTGTGTTTTCCATTCATTCGTTCACTCATGAATACAGTCATTGTGTCACTCAGTCACCTCAGTCTGACCTCATCATCAGTTTCCTCGGTTCAGACGCTTCAAACAAGTTGACTGTGCACTTTTCATTCTCTCACAGACTCCAACATTTAAATCATTAAAGGATTTAGATCAGCTCAAGTGAAACAACCTTTAAACATTTCTGACATGTTTAATTATTTTTATGGGATGCTTTAAGACTGAGATCAACTCAATTTTAATAAAAATAGAAACAAATTCTGTATCTTTTGTTGAGAATCTTTTGTTCCAAAAATTAAAAATGATCAAAAATCAGCTGGTTAAGATCTAAAACATTATGATTCACAACAGGAAGAAACTCCTGAAATGTTAACAATTTAGGAAAAAAATAATTAATAGTTTTAATAATTGTTTGTTTTAACCATTAAAATATTCATATGTGTGGGTTTGGATGAGTGCTGTCAGACTACAGCAGGTGTTCTTACCTGTTTGTCACTGAGCAGGTAAATGAACTGATTATCTGGACTAAACACCATGTCTCTGAGGATGGGCTTTCCCTCCACCACTGTCACCGTCTCATACAGCAAAGCATTCTGGGCTGGTGGCAGAACCCCATCCACACGGATCTGAAACACACAACAGGACAGTAGATGTTACACTGATGTTAGCTTTACTTTAGCCTGATGTTACACTGATGTTAGCTTTACTTTAGCCTGATGTTACACTGATGTTAGCTTTACTTTAGCCTGATGTTACACTGATGTTAGCTTGACTTTAGCCTGATGTTACA